TTGCTATGGAAACAACGTGACAGAGATCAACGGAGAAAAGTAATATCTACATATAAAGACGGAGAAAGTAAACAATAACGTTTATGGTTAAGTGTTAGCACCCCCCGAACAAGCTCTTACGTTGATATTGGAGTTTTCAATAAATTCAATCAGAAAAAAAACGAATAACGAAATTGAAACCTGAATAGTACTCCAACGAACGAATATTCGGGTACAGCCCTACAAGGTGGAGATAAAAAAAATACTGAAAGAATTTGGAAATCTTGATTTCGATTAGATCAACATCTCGTTTGATAGATTTTACTTGAAAAATGGTGACGCACTGCACATTGTGACGTGTGAATCATGACTCTGTCTGTCAGTGACCGTCTTCACGGAGTCTCTGCCCTCAGACAGTGGTGACAACATGGCATCCCAGTCGGTTCCCATGGTAACCACATCCACTGGGATGGCGTCTGCTGCAGATGATGGGGACGAAGTGTTCATGGAGCAGGAGGGAGAGGGGTGAGCAGCTTATTGAATCCCTTTCCTAATCGTCTGAAGTATCTGTGTAAACAATGTGTTCCATTTGACTGAGAACAGATTTGGATGGAGTGTCTGAGTTCAGTGTTTGTGTTTTGCAGTGCTGGTATTGAATCTTCTCTGGACAGCCAGACAGACCTGGAGTCAGCAGGTCAGCAGAGTGATGATGCTTCACTGCCCCTCTACCAGCCAGGAGCCTGGTACTGTACTCTGTCTTCTGACCAGCATTAACTCTTCATTGTGAACCCAACTAAGGTTTTCTGGGATGTTAACAGAACTGCTGCGACTACTGTCAAAAGGCTGCATTTACACATGCTAACAGCTTCCACATTAACGATCAGTGTATGTTTTGGTCATAGCTCACGACAGGCCGTGGTATATGGTCATCATATCACAGTTAAGGGGCGTGGTTCGCTTCTCGTCGGGCCGAACCACGCCCCTTAACTGTGATATGATGATCCTGATGAGGGTGCGCAAATATGATCACATCACCCCCATCCTTAAAGCACTACACTGGCTCCCCGTGGAACTGAGGGTCGAATTCAAGGTCTCCGTCCTCACCCACCAGTGTGTCCATGGAACTGCCCCTCCCTACCTCAAGGAACTCCTCACCCCCCATACCTCCTTGTGGACTACCCGCTCCAGCAACTCCAACCTCCTCAAACCCCCCAGGACTAAGCTCCGTACTATGGGAGACCGGGCCTTCTGCTCGGCCGCTCCCAGTCTGTGGAATGCTCTCCCCGACCAAATGAGAGCACCACAGACCGTGGAGGCTTTTAAAAAAGGCCTCAAAACCCAGCCTTTGCCTAGACCTTTTATTTATTACCACCCTTTTATTTTATTGTTTGTTTGTTATTGCTTTTTATTAATTCTACCGTGTTGTATAATGTTCTTATACTGTGCATGCTCACTGCTTGTAGCACTTTGGGATTTGAAGTCAAATATGAAGTGCTTTATAAATGAAACCCATTATTATTATTATATAATGAGCATATATCACGGCCTGAAGTGAGCTATTGCTTTTATAAAGCGGTTACTAAGTGTGGCAATATGAAAGAAAATACACTCTAATTTAAATAGTTTTTATTAGTAAATAATGTTGTTCAAAATAAAATAGTCCCTCCGTTGCCTTCTGCACGAAACATAGTGCGAGGTGGTTGCTATGCAACAACACTAACAGCTAGCGAACATATTACACAGAGAGCGTTGATCCATTATTTGGCTATTTATTTAATGTGTATGTTGCCGTTTATTGTGCAGCCACTGAAAACCTGTCCAGCATCAGTAGCATGGCTTACGTGGCTTACTCGTGGTTGTTCTAGGCTGTTGCTTGGCGTGGTCAGAATATTGCTCCACTTTCTCCGGTCCCGAGATTCTGCTTCCAGTAGCTCTGGAGAGAGCTTTCACACCTGTGGCCACTAACGGTCATCATATCTCTGCTTTGTTTCAAATATTGCACTTTTGTCATCAAAGCTTTTGAATGGTGGTACTTCTCCAGTTGGTCTACCTGCTCTTCACGTAGCTCTGCATGTCGTCGTTTAGGTGCTTTTTTTTCTGGAGATAGGCACTGCTCAATCCACTCCTCCATAGTAAGACCCCCCCGGAGGTTGAAGTTAAGTAAGGGATAATGTGCAGCGAGGCGGTCATTATGGGTAAAAGAATCAAAAGTAGTCCGTTGTTACTGTTTGAACTAACGTAGCAACGGCAGGAACTGCTTCTATAGCGTTTTTGAGGAGCTTTTTGATTACAGATTTGAAAACATCGTTGCTTGCTTTAAAAGTAGCACAATTCATTATGTCAAACCTTGGAAAGTATCTAGATATCCTGCCCTAATGCCAAAGTAACTGCACACTGAATATGTGTCGCCGTCTGATGTCTATGTCTGGACCGCTGCGTAAAAAGGAGGGTTTCTGCCCGTTACTTCTCCGCTGTTTTCTTGTCCCAGTTTGCTTTTCAGCCCAACGGTATACAGTTAAATCGACCGGACTTCTTTCTGCAGATGTGAGCGTCCTTAACAACGGTCAATAAGTCCTTGCTGCACATTATCCCTTACATGTTTCCATCTTAAGCTTTGTTAGTTAGTTGGTTAGTTAGTTGGTTAGTTGGTTAGTTAGTTAGTTGGTTGGTTAGTTAGTAGTTGGTTAGTTGGTTAGTTAGTTAGTTAGTTAGTTAGTTGGTTGGTTAGTTAGTTGGTTGGTTAGTTAGTTAGTTGGTTAGTTAGTTAGTTGGTTGGTTAGTTAGTTAGTTGGTTAGTTGGTTAGTTAGTTAGTTAGTTAGTTAGTTGGTTGGTTAGTTAGTTGGTTGGTTAGTTAGTTAGTTGGTTAGTTAGTTAGTTAGTTAGTTAGTTAGTTTCGTAATGGACGTAATGTTACAGTTGTAACGGTTGTAGCTTTTCTCAGACGCGGAGGGTTTGTGACAACTGCAATTCTACCTGTGATATACGCTCATTATATCACGGCTAAGAACCAATCAGATTGCTTGATTTGACTTGTCTGTTTAAAAAGGACCATTAACACCCACTCTAAATTGTTTCAGTTGTCATGGATTTGAAGTCTGAAAAAAATAACGTGTCTGATAACTAGGTTTTTAGAAGACAATTTATAAAAGCTATTGGCAACAGCCCTATCATTCTAGGTGTTATTCACAACATTGGAGGGATTGATGATTTTTCATTGAACAATAAATAAATATGAGAAACTGTATCAAAGAAACTAGTTTTGTTTTTTTCACTTTTATTGTCATTACGTAGTACAAGGTTTCTCTGCATTTGACCCATCCTAGTGTTAGGAGCAGTGGGCTGCCATTATGAACGGCACCCAGGGAGCAGTGTAGGGAGCGATGCCTTGCTCAGGGACTGATTAAGTCTGTAGTAAAGAATTTGTAGACTGCAGATCAGCAATACTTCATTCAAAATTATATTTTAACATATATTTCAACATCAATTTGTACACAAGGGATGCTTATCTGGACAGCTGGACAACCAGATCAATCTGTTTAGGTTTTTAAATCGAACGTCTAAACATTGAAAAATGGGCAGCTTCTGATCATCTCAACCGATCCACACTCAGAATGACTGACGGTGATATTTGTTTCAGCTGAATCTGTTTGTCCTAGTTGGTATGACAGATGTTAATCTTTGGTTGTGTTTAATGTTTGTCCTGATGTGTTGTCCCTGACAGTCTGCTCCTCTCCGTCCTCAGACACCAGCAGTGCAGCTCAGCGGCGCACAGCAAGTGGTGTGATGAGCAGAGGAACCAGGGGGGGGAGGATGGAGGCGCGCACGCTGCTCAGCCGCAGAGGTGACCACATACAACTGTCCTTTCAGTGTCAGAGATGATGTAGTGGTGCAGGAATGAGTCAGCATTTCAGCACCTCCCGCTCTCGTCTTCAAGTCAACAGTTTTTTGAATGTGTTTTTGGTTAGAAGCCTTTGAATAATGTCTGTTAACACAAGCTGAAGAGATGTTCATGTTTTGTTTTACGCCATAGAATATGTCAGTAAATACACGCTGGTGAATATCAGAAGCTTCTTTGTGTCCTATAAAAGACGGTTGCTAAGTGTCTAAATTAGACTACTCAACGTCATCACGCTGAACACTAGCCACTTTTATCTTAGCGGTGGAGACGTAAGGTCATGTGGTTTGTTATAACGTCATGATTATCTTTTTATTTCTGTTGATTGACTTTATACTTTCAGAATCATGAAGTGTTATTAATGTGTGGACATTATATTGCTGAACAAAATGTGAAAATATAAAACGTTTTTTTGCCAAAAATCTTAATTTCTGCAATATTATAAATTCTTTAGAAGAATCCCTCGGCTTCTTGTCGAGGGAGCCCTTGCCATGCTAACTTAAAAAGACGTCATCCCTTGAGCACTCTGTTAAGACCTGATGTGGAACATGTTGACAATAAGCTCCAGTCACTCTGGGGAATGATGAAGCTGTTTATTGAAGTGCAATAAGCAGAGAGCAGCATAAACATGGGGATAGATCACAAACAGATATGATCACATGGAATCTCTCATGCTTTCTCCTCACATTTGTTTTCAGGCACTTTCTTTCGAGGAGGAAGGGGAGGGGCCATGGGCAGAGGGGGCTTGGCCTGATGATGATGATGATGATCCAGTCCATTGTGTTTATTCTTGATTATTTTGTTAGTATCTTAATGTTGCTGTAGACTGTTAATAAACATTTAATAATAAAGCTGAATAATGATAAGCAGTGATGTGTTGTTTGTAATCAGTGGAACGTTTTAAAGAATGACGCAGCTATTCAAATTTGTAAGGAATATTAGTTACATTAGAACATTATAGTTACCACTTCTGGGAATTGAAATCATGATATGAATGTACTGCAATAATAGTACATGATACATTTAGTGCTTTGAAAATATTGTGGTTATAATACCAGAGCAGGACGTGAGGACGTTAGGGACAGCGCAGCCACACTCTGATGGAGTTAGCTGGGGGGGGGGGTGTTAGCATTCTGAGCGGCCATGTTGGCGAAGTCGCTGTACACAACAGGGCTGAGGATTGGCGGGGGGGGCCGGGGCTGCGGGGGCCGGAGGTGCGGTCAGCACCAGCAGGTCACCTGAGATGTGGACGCTGAAGAACAGAGCTGCAGAGAGAGAGGATTATTATTAACATCACCTCACACACTGGACGAGTCAGAGCTGTCACAGATGGAAAGAGTTAAGAGTTTGTGACCATTATGTCAAATATATCAGGAAGAAGAACTGACTCCAAGCAGGAACATGTCTCCTGGTATATCATTGTATGTATTATTATTATTACTCGTGAAAAGAAGGGTTTAACTCTATAGTTAGTTATTTGGGGTAGAGCTCATATTGAACTGTTTTCTCCAAGACTAATCCAAAGATCCCTTGGTTTTTGAAAATTCAGAAAATAGTGAGAGATTCTGGCCAATCACCTGAGCCCATCAGAGTTTGTTCAGTCCAAACCTCAACCTAATAACTTGTACATTAAGATAAGCCAAGCTGCACAGAGAGAAGCTGGAACCTTGAAACGTGTCTGCTACAGGAAGACTGACTCCAACCATCAGAATATCTGATGATCCTTTTTCTGTCTGGTGGCTGATGGGAAAAAAACGGTGAAGCCTCTAAAGCTGTCAGATACATGTATTGGAGTAAAAAGTACAATATCTGCCTCTGAGGTGAAGAAGTAGAACGTGGCATGAGAAGAAAAAAGTAAAATACAAGTATCTTCAAAGTGTACTTTAGTGCAGTACTGACCTCAGCACATACACGATCAGCCTCAGAGACATTTCTATCACTACTGGTGTTTAAAAACACCACATAGTCAACAGTGTGGTAGTTTCCCTTCATCTTTTATATTATTCTAAAATGGAGCTGTCACAAAACCCAAGATGCCCTGGGGATGGTCAACTATTTCTCTCTGCTTTAGTGACAATAGTGAGTGTGTAACAGGCGGGTTCTTACGTCCAGAGAAGACGTAGTGCTCGAACAGCCCCCCCCTCTGAGGGCGGGGCTGGGACAGGGCGGAGGTGACGGGGGAGGGGAACCCCTTCAGAGACACTCTGATGTTGACCTCTGCCCCCAGAAGACCTGATGAGAGAAATAAGAAGATCATCATTTAATGCATGCCCACTCTGACTGTCTTTGAGGGACCAGCCCGATCAAATCTAAGTTTTTATGAAAGGATTGGAATACTTATTGCAGACTGCTAATCACTGAGTTATGAGACTCTATAGGAAGTTGGTTTGTGGCAGTGGTAGAAAGAGTATTCAGATTACTTAGCTAAAAGAATTACTATCAAACTGTTATAATATTGTAATAAAAGTAAAAGCTTCGGCATTGGAAATGTTGCTTTAGTAAAAGTAAAACTCCTAGTTGTATAGGCATCAAACATAAAACCATTTAATGCAGAAAATCTCAAAAAAATAAATAAAAAAGATTCAGTCTCATTTTGTAAAATACATTTTGTATTGTTAATTAGAAAACGACTTAAATGTTTATAGCTGGCAATTTGTTTGTATGCAAAGTAACTGAAGCTGAATCCCTTTCTGTGTGTGAAGCTGTTCTGCTTTTTATGTAAATGCTTTGTAACTCTTTGAAAAGTGCTATATAAATAAGGTTTCTTATTATTTTACTGATTATTATTATTATTCGAACTGTAGTGGTTTTAACATATACTTGAGTAAATGTACTTAGTTACATCGGTTGGCATCAGTAGATTTACATTTAAGCTGAATTCATCCTGGATTGATTCTTTTTATAACCTTTTGAAGGAACACTTATGTTGGATACTGACCGGCCTGGAGAGTGAAGCGTGTCTTCGGGGCGGTGCTGGGGGTGTTGCTGCAGGAGGGCGCACTGCCTGCTGGGAAACTGAACCTCTGCATGATGTCTCCTGCAGGCAGACAGGGAGAGGGACTCATTCAGGACACAAACTGTTTTTATGACGTGAGTTTATCTCTACAGGAGGAGAGGACAGATCCTTGCTCTGTGCAGGAAGCCACAGCACACAGATCACCTGTTACACTTTCATTTCAAACCTTTATTTATGCAGGTCCCATTGAGATCATTGATCTCTTTTTCAAGGGTGACCTGCTGCAAGTAGGTTCCACATGAATACATATAAACATAACAGAAAAACAAAAAGGACATCATACAGCATATTACAGCGACTACAGTTTACATAGTGACATTTACAGGTTCCAACAGTTTCCGACTGCATAGCATCTATCCGTGCTTTAAAAACATGTAGTGGTACCAGATTGGTACGTTTCCATTCTTTTTGCAGACTGTTCCAAGTTAGAGGAGCTGCGCATCTAAAAGCTTTCTTCCCTAAGACAGTCCTAGCACTTGGCACATTTAATAAAACCACAGCATGCGATCTCAGGCAATAAGTACTTTCAATTCGCCGAGAGATCAGGGAGCAGATATAAGATGGTAGTTTATCCAACATGGCTTTGTAGATGAACGTGTACCAATGACTGAGCCTCCGTACAGTTAGTGATGGCAAACCAGCCCTTGCATACAGGGTACAGAGATGCAAATTACATTATAAGACTACTAGCATCAAACTATACTTAAACTAAAAGTATGTATTCCACAGAATTTCAGGCTAATATATATATAATTAACTTCAATGTAACATCATGTTTTGATACATTTAAATGTTGTATGAGTAATCTAAAACGGCAAATTAACTGTTTGAATACAGTTATCAAATGCATTTTGTGGAGAAAAAGTACAATATTTGCCTTAGAAATGTATTGGAGTAAAAGTACAACGTCAACCGTACCTGAAAAACTGATGCGTTGACTTTAATTAAATGTATTATGTCAACAGATTTCACATAAACAAGTCATTTCATTTTTCAGTGTAACTAAAAGATAGTGCTTACAGACACGTGTGTGTGTGTGTGTGTGTGTGTGTGTGTGTGTGTGTGTGTGTGTGTGTGTGTGTGTGTGTGTGTGTGTGTGTGTGTGTGTGTGTGTGTGGTGTGTGTGTGTGTGTGTGTGTGTGTGTGTGTGTGTGTGTGTGTGTGTGTGTGTGTGTGTGTGTGTGTGTGTGTGTGTGTGTGTGTGTGTGTGTGTGTGTGTGTGCACTCCTCACCGCTCTTAAAGAAGTACACACTCTCCGGTGAGCTCCTGGTGGCGGGGACTGCCAGCGCAGCGCGGATACTTCCTGTCAGCCCGGGGAACTCAGAGGTCAGAGGTCGGGGGTAACCTGGCTCCATCACCATGTTCCCATCCAGACGCCAGAAACTGATCCCCCCTGCAGGGGGAAGTCACATACACAACACCACTTACATTATACACAAATCACATGCATAAAACCTACATAAATACCATCAACACAAAAGAACAGAGTTGTTTAAGGTGCAGAGGTCAACATTTTTCATTGTCCATTTAAGAAGGTCTGAATTTAGCCCAATCACAGACGACCAGGTGCGGTGTCTGTGTTTTAGAATCATCAGTCATGTTCACGATGCTTTGGTTAGTGACCATAGTGCGTTTAACTTTCCAGAAAATCACACACACGATGCCAATGGTTAGTTGGCCCCTAGCATATAAAGTTAGTATATAAAAATATATATATATATCAACAATGATATGGCTCCCCTTTAGACTTGGAAAAACATAACCATTTTTTAAAGTAGTAGAATTTGAATAAGATGCTACTGTAAATGTGTTCCCGCCTACTTGCATTGTGTTCAGCTCTGTGAACATGTAGACAAATAAATAGTTTGTAAAAGTTTGAGACAAAGTGTGCAAAAAAATCCAGAATATAGTTTAGAAACTCTGATATGATTTAATAACTGTAAGTTTTTAGCAACATAAATCCTTTACCTTTATGTAAAGTTTTTATTAATGTCGATGTTAGTGGCAGTATCAGAGGTCACAGGTCATACTGTACCTTGATGATGTAGGTGTGTGCGTGGCAGTTGCAGCGTGTGAAACACTGTGTCGATGGGAGAGGACACACCCAGAGTGTGTGTGATCCTCTGAGGACCCCCCACTGAGCGGCTGACGGGGGTCCACTGACCACAGCAGCTCACCTGAGACACAACACACCAAACAGCACAAACATTTGTTCTCTGCTTTTAACCCGTCAAACCCTGCATTGCATGTCACTTAAGAAATAAGAAGAATGTTGGGAAAGTATCAAACAAAAACTTACCCAAAAAAAACTAAAATAATGAATCCTCAATTGTCCAGATTAATTGATCTAGTTTTATTCTTCATCATATTTTATAAACTTGTGTGTCTATATGCTGAAATCTTAATTGCAAATTAAATTATTATTATAAACAAATATCAAATATTTGTGGTAAAGTAAAAGTATTAAGTGGCATGAAAAGAATACTCAAGAACAATTGGCTCATCATTGTACTTCAGTACTTCAGTTAATGTACTTCGTTATATTCTCCTGAGATCTCACACAAACAAAGCTCTGCAAACACTGATTTCATATATTTCTTTCCAGTGTTTGCAGAAAATCATTTTAAGCTTGAGTCACGTCAAACATTTGAATTGATGTCGAAACATTTCAACACATTCTAACGCGTATCCTCAAAGACCGCTGGACCACACACACTGATTCTGACCTTTGAATATCAGAACGGTCCCATTGCTGAGAGCTGTCAGTCCATCGATGGGAGAATCACTGCAGAGGGTCCCATCAGCAAGGAGTCCTGCACACACACACACACACACACAACCACACACACCACACACACACACACACACACACCACACACACACACGCACGCACACCACCCACAACACACACACACACACACCACGCACACACACACACGCACACCACACACACACACACAAGAAAGACGGACAACTTGAAAAAATCGCTCGCAAATTGTAAACGATGCCGAGCCGCTTTAAAGTACACAAGTAGTACGAGGAAGTTAGCGACGCACATAAAGAGGCGACATGGGGTCTGCGTCTGAAAAGAGAACCTGAAAGTTAGACTATGAGTGAAATCACTCAGAGAGCTGTTCTGTCAGAGAGAGAGGTGTTTAGTTTACAGCAGCCTGGGACGGCCAATAACAGTTGAACTGTCTTCCTCACTGTAAGCAGTTATGAAAGAAGCTGTTTTGTGAAAGGTTCTTGTATTCTTTATTGTTTTCCTATAGAAACCAGTGCTTTCTGCTCACTGGTGAGTTAGCCTATGGATGAGTGTTGAGCACATCAGTCAGCAGCTGTATGGGCATGGCACTATGGTAGCTGTTATTTGCACATTGTTTAATCCGGGCAATGCATCCTTACATTGTTGTAACTGTGAGGTGTTATAACATTGGAACTGTACTCTGGAGACAGAGAAACACTACTACCCTTGTGAAAGGCCAGCTTGTGAAAAGTCCAAGTGTTTTTTTATTTAAGGTCAAAAAGAAACCAGCATGATGGGATGCACAGTACTAGTAGAGAGAACCAAATATGTGAAGCACTTTCTTGTTAATTTATGATTTGCTGATTTGTTAATCGTATCGCCCTGAATCGCATAATGTTGAATCAAATCGTATCGAGCTGTATCGCAACAGGGGTGAATCGTATCGTATCGCCTGGTGCTTCAAATGTATCGTTAATGTATCGTAGGCAATGTATCGAGATGCGCATCACATGGCCTCAGTGATCGAGATGCGTTTTGACCAATCACAACCGAGGCGGCCAGCTAACCAATCATAGCAGACTGGGCTCTGGTTTTCAGACAGAGGGTGATGAAAGAGGGCAGCAGCACAGGCCTAGTATGAGAAGAATAAAGAGCTTTTTGGAACATTAAAGCATGGAGACATGTAGAGGACACTACCATACTGATATACACCTGAACATCAGCAGGAGAGACTCTTTAAAGTAGTAGGACACTACATACTGATATACACCTGAACATCAGCAGGAGAGGACTTCTTTAAAGTAGAGACAACATACTGATATACACCTGAACATCAGCAGGAGAGGACTCTTTAAAGTAGAGACACTACATACTGATATACACCTGAACATCAGCAGGAGAGGACTCTTTAAAGTAGGAGACACACATACTGATATACACCTGAACATCACAGGAGAGGACTCTTTAAAGTAGAGACACTACATACTGATATACACCTGAACATCAGCAGGAGAGGACTCTTTAAAGTAGAGACACTACATACTGATATACACCTGAACATCAGCAGGAGAGGACTCTTTAAAGTAGAGCCACTACATACTGATATACACCTGAACATCAGCAGGAGAGGACTCTTTAAAGTAGAGACACTACATACTGATACACCTGAACTCAGCAGGAGAGGACTCTTTAAAGTAGAGACACTACATACTGATATACACCTGAACATCAGCAGGAGAGGACTCTTAAAGTAGAGACACTACATACTGATATACACCTGAACATCAGCAGGAGAGGACTCTTTAAAGTAGAGACACTACATACTGATATACACCTGAACATCAGCAAGAGAGGACTCTTTAAAGTAGAGACACTAATACTGATATACACCCGAACATCAGCAGGAGAGGACTCTTAAAGTAGAGACACTACATAACTGAATATACACCTGAAGCATCAGCAGGAGAGGACTTCTTTAAGTAGAGACACTACATACTGATATACACCTGAACTCAGCAAGAGAGGACCTATTTTAAAGTAGAGACACTACATTACTGCTATACATCCTGAACATCAGCTAGGAGATGACTCTTTAAAGTAGAGACACTACATACTGATATACACCCCGAACATCAGCAGGACGAGGACTTTTAAAGTAGAGACACTAACATACTGATATACACCTGAACATCAGCAGGAGAGGACTCTTCTAAAGTAGAGACACTACATACTGATATACACCTGAACATCGCAGAGAGGACTCTTTAAAGTAGAGACCCCCCTACTTTTTTTACATACTGCCCCATACTGAATACACCCATCGAACATCACGCACCCGCGGAGCGCGACTCCTTTAAAGATAGACCGACACTACATCACTGATCTACACCCTGAACCACATCAGCAGGGAGGAGGACTCCTTTAAGTACGAGACAATACATTCACACTGATATTGACCCCCACTCTCCCTGCAACATCAGCAGGAGAGGACTCTTTAAAGTAGAGACACTACATACTGAATATACACCTGAACATCAGCAGGAGAGGACTCTTTAAAGTAGAGACACTACATACTGATATACACCCTGAACATCAGCAGGAGAGGACTCTTTAAAGTAGAGACACTACATACTGATATACACTGAACATCAGCAGGAGGGACTCTTTAAAGTAGAGACACTACATACTGATATACACTCTGAACATCAGCAGGAGAGACTCTTTAAAGTAGAGACACTACATACTGATATACACCTGAACATCAGCAGGAGAGACTCTTTAAAGTAGAGACACTACATACTGATATACACCTGAACATCAGCAGGAGAGGACCTTTAAAGTAGAGACACTACATACTGATATACACCTGAACTCAGCAGGAGAGGACTCTTTAAAGTACGAGACACATACATACTGATTATACACCTGAACATCAGCAGGAGAGACTCTTTAAAGTAGAGACACTACATACTGATATACACCTGAACATCAGCAGGAGAGCACTCTTTAAAGTAGAGACACCATACTGATATACCCTGAACATCAGCAGGAGAGGACTCTTTAAAGTAGAGACACTACATACTGATATACCTGATCATCAGCAGGAGAGGGCTCTTTAAAGTAGAGACACTACATACTGATATACACCTGAACATCAGCAGGAGAGGACTCTTTAAGTAGAGACACTACAACTGATATACACCCCTGAACATCAGCAGGAGAGGACTCTTTAAAGTAGAGACACATACTGATATACACCTGAACATCAGCAGAGAGGACTCTTTAAAGTAGAGACAACATACTGATATACACCTGAACATCAGCAGGAGAGGACTCTTTAAAGTAGAGACACTACATACTGAATATACACCTGAACATCAGCAGGAGAGGACTCTTTAAAGTAGAGACCTACATACTGATATACCCTGAACATCAGCAGAGAGGACTCTTTAAGTAGAGACACTACATACTGATATACACACCTGAACATCAGCAGGAGAGACTCTTTAAAGTAGAGACACTACATACTGATATAACACCTGAACATCAGCAGGAGAGGACTCTTTAAAGTAGAGACACTACATACTGATATACACCTGAACATCAGCAAGAGAGGACTCTTTAAAGTAGAGACACTACATACTGATATACACCCGAACATCACAGGAGAGGACTCTTTAAAGTAGAGACACTACATACTGATATTACACCCGAACATCAGCAGGAGAGGACTCTTTAAAGTAGAGACACTACATACTGATATACAACACCTGAACATCAGCAGGAGAGGACTCTTAAAGTAGAGACACTACATACTGATATACACCTGAAACATCAGCAGGAGATGACTCTTAAAGTAGAGACACTACATACTGATATACACCTGAACATCAGCAGGAGAGGACTCTTTAAAGCAGATACACTACATACTGATATACACCTGAACATCAGCAGGAGAGGACTCTTTAAAGTAGAGACACTACATACTGATAGACACCTGAACATCAGCAGGAGAGGACTCTTTAAAGTAGAGACACTACATACTGATATACACCTGAACATCAGCAGGAGAGACTCTTTAAAGTAGAGACACTACATACTGATATACACCTGAACATCAGCAGGGAGAGGACTCTTTAAAGTAGAGACACTACATACTGATATACACCTGAACATCAGCAGGAGAGGACTCTTAAAGTAGAGACACTACATACTGATATCACCTGAACATCAAGGAGAGGACTCTTTAAAGTAGAGACACTACATACTGATATACACCCCCGAACATCAGCAGGAGAGGACTCTTTAAAGTAGAGACACTACATACTGATATACACCTGAACATCAGCAGGAGAGGACTCTTTAAGTCGAGACACTACATACTGATATACATGAACATCAGCAGGAGAGGACTCTTTAAAGTAGAGACACTACATACTGATATACACCTGAACATCAGCAGGAGAGGACTCTTTAAAGTAGCGACACTACATACTGATATACACCTGACATCAGCAGGAGAGGACTCTTTAAAGTAGAGACACTACATACTGAATAACCTGAACATCAGCAGGAGAGGACTCTTTAAAGTAGAGACACTACATACTGATATACACCTGAACATCAGCAGGAGAGGACTCTTTAAAGTAGAGACTACATACTGATATACACCTGAACATCAGCAGGAGAGGACTCTTTAAAGTAGAGACACTACATACTGAAATACACCTGAACATCAGCAGGAGAGACTCTTTAAAGTAGAGACACTACATACTGATATACACCTGAACATCAGCAGGAGAGGACTCTTTAAAGTAGAGAACTACATACTGATATACACCTGAACATCAGCAGGAGGACTCTTTAAAGTAGAGACACATACTGATACACCTGAACATCAGCAGGAGAGGACTCTTAAAGTAGAGACACTACATACTGATATACACCTGACACATCAGCAGGAGAGGACTCTTTAAAGTAGAGACACTACATACTGATATACACCTGAACATCAGCAGGAGAGGACTCTTTAAAGTAGAGACACACATACTGATATACCTGAACATCATCAGGAGAGGACTCTTTAAAGTAGAGACACTACATACTGATATACACCTGACATCAGCAGGAGAGGACTCTTTAAAGTAGAGACACTACATACTGATATACACCTAAAAAAAGTGCTTCATTAAGATATTATTTTTGAAATTAAAGAAGGCAATAAATATTCCAAACCCTGTTGTGGTTGATTGGTCGGTGCAGCAGGAGCTCGCCCAGAGGAGCTGGCAGTCAGCTGTCTGATGGACCCCGGACACTGACCCCTGGGGTACCGGGAGCAGGGGCCCCTCGCTACATCAAAACATAAGAATACAAATTGTCATAAGATAACAACATCAATCATTGAATCCATGGTTCAGAACTGACTTACACATCCACAGGTTTGGTTATAAAAAAACTTGTGTGTGTTGTGTCTGAATTTACGTTTAGGTGATCTGTTGACTGTTGATCTGTTGACCCCATTTCCAGTCTTTATGCTAAGCTAAGTGGCCTAGATTTATATTTTCTTCATGGTACTGAGCTTCTCATCCAACTCCCTGCAAATAAATAATATGTATATTTTCCTAAAGACCATTCCCCTGAAGTCTTGAAATCAAATGGATTTGTTTACTAAGAGTAGGGCTTTGTATTTGGCAATGCACTACCCAACTTAGCTAGTATGTTATTTTGGTGATGCAAATTATCTGAGAAAGTCGATTCAACATTTGAAAAAACAACCCTCCAGTCTTCTTCATGGGCAGTTTCTGCATCCAGAGTCATTCGCAAAAGCTTTGTGTCTTTCTGTTTCTGTACACAGTTAAGGTTTTTGTTCCTTCTTTTTGAATGAATAAGAATTAGAACAACTCACCTGAGTACCATTCCTCACTCTCACTGTTGGAGTCTCCCCACCCCCTGCCTGGTCTCCGATTTCCTGAAGAGGAGAAAACCAATGAAGAAGGGAAACATATCAGTTTTATGGTGAGAAAAAGGAAGAGTCAAGTCTGCAACATATTTCACGTCTAAACTTCAATATATTAAAATATGTGACTTTTTGTCTTGCATCTCAGTACCTGCATGTATGAGTCCCTGCTGTTTCCTTGTGCCTCTGCTGAGCCATTCATAAATAACATATTCCAAAAATTCTATAGATGAATTCTGTCAATTCAGGTTTCTTTTGTTCATCTCACGGCTTTGTGTGGATTGATAGTAAACATGAGCTAACATGGCCCAGATGGGGATTGTTTGGTTACCTAATTCAGTACACAGTATTGGATCTGGTTAGTGACATGTGAAAGCTGTTCTGCTGGCAGTGAGGTGTTGTTGATGCTGACCTGTCGCAGCAGCTCTCAGAGGCTGTGCCGTCGGGCGAGAGAGAGCCTGAGACACCGGCATGAGATAGGACAGACGGACAAAAGCACCCAGATCAGGATGCTTGTCCATTACCATCCAATCTTCATAAAGCTTCATATGAGTTGAAAGTCACTATCCAAAAATACTTTCTCATGTCTCTTCTACATGCACACGTTTCAGGAACAAAGACCCCCTCTCTTTTATCCTGATCCATCTTTATAAAAACCCTGTCTGAAAATGAGCTGATCAGATGTTGGTCACTTTGTGATGTCACAATGTTTTTTTGGGTTTGCAAGGATTAGCCAATAACCAACCAAGGTAACCCCCCCCCACACCTTATCACTGAATCTCCTCCTAGAGCACCATTATGTTAAACCAATCACCTCTCAGAGGGCGTGGCCAGCAGCAGCACATTAGCATTTAAAGTAACAGACAGAGAATCAGCACTTTGGAACAGGGCTGAAAAGAGGGGATTAGGGATGTTGCAGTGATTCTGTTTGGTGTTTCAGCCAATCAGAGAGACAGATTCTGTATATATCTGAGACCTGAGATATATT